ACTAGTCCATTTCATTTTTTTATGTTAAGCGTCTACAAATACATTTTGTTTTTGATTGTTCCATTACAGAAAAAAAAAACAATTATAATCAATAATCCAGGAGTTTTGAGGGAAATGTTGAAAATCTTCAAATTTATTGCGAACCTGTCAAATTAAGTATTAATTATCATATACTAGGCCTATTTAAATTTTGCCCAAGGCATTTTTCTTTTAATGAAAAAGAAAGAAATCAATTGTTTGAATGCTGCTCTTTATAGTTTGTAAATATGTGTTTTATAATAAATTTATTTTTGGGGCTTTGAAAGTTTATGTGCTTCTCTGGTGACCCCCAGTGTGCCCATTCTATTTCAAAAACCGGAGACAGGGGTTGAAAAACTTCTCCAATTCTAATAAGTTTTTAGAAGTTAAGCCCTTTTTGTGGGTTTTTTGTTTGTTTATTATTTGCATTATCTGGTCTGTAGCATGCTCTTCTTCCTGCTACAGTATATTCGGTGTAATTGTGATTTTTAATTTTGCAATCTGTAAGATTGATTTTTCAAAATCATAATTGTGAGGAATTTAAATTGCTGTTTGTTAAACTATCACACTTTTTTATTTCTTTTCTTCAGTAACAGTCCAATTGCATGATATCAGTAGTGAGACAGTCTGATATGACGATTAATATCAGACTGCTCAATAATATCGGACTGCCACAGGTAAATTTTTAGACTGCAAGAACAAAGGAATGACATCACAGCAATGTTTTAAGCATTATTAAGGTATGTTAGGGATATTTATACAACATGAACACTATTTTATATATATACAAGTACAATTGCAAAAAAATTTTCATACATATTTTATGAACTTGTACATAAACGGAAAACTTTCCTGAACAAATTTTGATTGAATACATGTAAGTTACATGTTACCCACACTTGATTTAAAATTTGCTTTTGAATCAAGTATGGTAAAAGTATCTTTTTTTTAAATAGAACAAAAACAATGAATTCATCCTTTGTTACTCAAATAGTATTCAAAACCTCTTTGAAAAAAATTATCAAAACATACATCATGTGTTGAGAAAATTTATTTAAATTACAGTTTACTTACGGTTGCTCATATATCCCTCATTTGTAATATTATTAACCTTTCATGGGTAATGCTCCAGTGTCACAGTTCTAAAATGTAACAATACATAAATGTAGTATCCTACTCTTAAGGACAAAAAAACTAAATAACACTGTAGTCTGTACCCGAAAACCTACACATATATGATATATATTTTTTTATTTGACCTTGTGTATATTTTCATTACATACAAACAAACTTAAGATACATCTTTGATTACATTCTCCTCCTATTGATAATTATGATTTCCCAGATTAAGTTGCTTTCTGAAGTAAGTACAAATTTCTACATTATTTTTTTTTTTACCTGTGCCTAGGGTAGAACCATTCCCATTGATTTCCGGGTGGCCATATCCATTGCTTGTTCATTTTCTCCTCCATTTGCATCATCATTCATGGGTTTTTAAAATAGATGGAATCCCACAAGTCAGATTTCGTGAATTCCGTTCCAATATTTCAAAATGGGTCTCTTTTATTTTCATTAATTGATTGATGACTTGCTTCGACAGTTTACAGCTGAATTCCATTTTAAACAGCTAAAAATACATCATTTTCTCATTGTTTATTATCCTGATGTCTTCTTTTACCACATGTTGTTATAAACTTCTTAATACTTCAATAAAGGAGAGTCACCATATTTTGGCTTCAGTGCAAAAGAGTCAGCAAAGGAAAATAACTCTAGGTCATTTTTCAGGAAAAGCAATGATTTCAGGCGATTGGAAAACAGTATTTCACAGATTTACCATCCTCAAATCTATTGTATCTTTTAGATTTAAGTTTTATATTACTGAAAAGATCCTTTATATAAGTTTTAATTGCCTGCAAAAATTTATATGCAACTGAAGAAATAGGTAACTTTGTAATTCATATTAAGAAATGTTCATTCTGCTCATTTACATATCGGCCATATTGAAGCTATAATGGCGACAGATTCCATGAGAGTTTATGTAGAGAACGTACAAAAATTGCAAAAAATATATACTTACTATTTTGGATAAAGTTCTTCCGCCGATGTTTTGATTTTTCTTTTTATCTTCTACCAGAAATAAGAATAATTTGAAAGTTGACCCCGCCTTTTTGATTTAAAAATTCGAAGAAAGTGTACATTGTTTTTTTTTTTAGGGAAAGAGCGAAGGATTAGTGTTTTAATCATTTTTGGTGTTAAACTGTAAGTATTTACTGCAAGATGACAGAGTTCTTCCGCCGATAAATAGGTGCAGATGAATGTCTAATTTTACAAAATAAAGACGATTTAACATTTCATGAGGAGTTCCGACCGCCTTTTTAATTTAAAAACGGCAATTTCTTGCACCGGTGTGACCTACTTATTATTAAAACGACTGTAGATCACGAATTGTTAAGAGTTAATTACGCAAATTTGTACCAATATAACTATGACGGGGCTTACAGAAATAAACACAAACCAGGTTTGAGTGTTTAAATATACAAAAAATTAAAGAATTGGTATATCTTGAGTTTTTGCAAAATCTTATGAATATTAATGAGTTGTACATCACGACGGAGCAATCTCATGAATAAACTGCACGTCATTTCTCCATATGTATTTTATGACAAATTTAGTGTAAATTGATCTGTGTTATATATATTAAAAACCATGAGTCAAATAGAATAAAATTTACATGCCAAGGAACTTTGATTACTTTGCTATAAAATGAGACCCATGGTATGTTCTTAACTTTCCTACGGATAGGAAGCGTGGAATTATTCTGCATGGTGATGGCAATCAGGTCATTTTCGCATTGGCAAAATATTTCAAAGTCGTTGCTATGGAAACCAAGGAGGAACTGTCCAAAATTCACCCACCTATAGTCCTGATAAGGGACATATATTGATAAAATCAAATTCCATGATAGTGCGTGGCCAACCATTTTTGGTCCTTACAGAGAATTGATGTTAATAATTAAATATTTCTAAAGATATTCAACTATTCAACTAAGTGTAAATTGGCGATCTTTTATCTCAAATTGCTTAACAAAGGGCTTATCTCTTCCAAAGATCAAACATCAATATTTTTAAGATCTATCTTTCTTCACTTAAACAATCAATCCAATAAATGACTAAACTTCTGGCAAGTATTTTGTCTTCATTAACCGTGTACAAATTATTATAAGCTTCTCTTATTATAAGTTTCTCGGATACGACTGAGTCAACCATTTTTTGTCACAACGCGGGTATGTTAAGGGAGCATATAAATCATTTCTCGGGAAATATAGACTTTTTAAAGAAAATTACGTTTGAAAATTTACCAAAACCGCTGATTGATTGATTGATTGATTGTATATTGTTTAACTTCCCTCTCGAGAATTTTTCACTCATATGGAGAAGTCACCGTATGCTGGTGAAGGGCTTCAAATTTTGACCTTTACTCGGCACTCATGGCCATTGAGCAGTGAAGGATCTTTATCGTGCCAACGCCTACCGCTGACACGGGGCCTCGGTTTTTAAGGCCTCATCCGAAGGACCCACAACTTTCACTTCAAAGTGCCGAGCGCATGGCGAAGAACAGTTGCTACCCATTTTATCGACTGGGTCAGTCGCGGCCAAGATACGAACTCACGACCTCCCGATCACGGAGCGAGCGCTCTACCGACTGAGCTACCGTGAAAGGTCCAAAACCGCTGATAAACGTAAACTATTATTAACTATTGCATAAAGATAAAAAAGTGTCTAACGCAAAGACGTGCACCACCACCACGGCATCACTTGACTTCTATTTATAGAGAAATATTCCTTAATAAAAAAAAGTTACAAAAAGATCAACAATACCCCTGGAGTTTTATAACTCCTTAGAGTAATTAATATAGTCGAAAAACATCTACTTTGCCTAAAAAGTGCTACTTGAATCGCACTGATCTGTCAGTAAAATAATTATTCCACATATTCGCATGAAACCTTACCAAATAATTTGAATTTTATATTAAATGAACCGATATTTTTCGTAAAACCGTGCTCAGATCGGGATTGTAGCAGCAATTTCCAAGAACTTTAGAAGTCAATCTTTCCATCTATATAAATGTTATGTTTTGAAATATCCAAGTTATTGATGTTCTGTTGAAATATTTTTGTCGCCAGTGACAAAGGAAAGGGATAGGTATATAGCTGACTGTCTTCAAAAGAGAATATAATCGATGAAAATAAATTAGCACACCTGTTAAATAAACTGAACACCATATGAATTTCACATAATATTCACGATATTTGCTTTAAAACTCCTTTTTACGTATCTCTGTACTGTACATGCCTTCTTAGCCAAATTCTCTTTACACGACATGTTCAATTCCAAAGTAACTTGAAGTAGACAAATAACGTCATCAATGGTAGATTTTAATCAAAATGACAGATTAAGCATACCAAAATAAAAACATTTTATTTTTGTTAATGTTTACATGTTTTTATTCATTTGCTTGAGTTAAATTACATCTCTAAATTTCAATACTACGAAAACTTGTAGTCTTAAATTGACGTTATTTCGCCTACCATGACGTCACATTTTTTCCCCTGATTTAGTCAACGTAGAATACTTTGTATGCTTCCTTATTACCCCTGCGAAATGACCTATATATTGACGCCATTTTCACCTTGTGACGTCACAAACATGGGGCAAAGCATTTCATTACATATGCTTTTTATAGAATATGACTATATGTGTGCCGAATTTCATTCTGATAAAAATTGCCGTTTTGTAAATATAGAGATAGTTCGCGAACTTTTTGATCACCCCTCGTATAGTCGCCATCAACAAAATGTATTCAACGATATTATGTGCCATTACACATCTAAATTCATCAATGAAACGTTATTATCCATCGCCACTTTATAAAAACAATAGCTTAACAAAGAAAAAAAGTCTTACATTGAAAATTCTCTTACTTGAACAAGAAACTCCAGCATCCTCACTGTGTCCACAGTCGTGTTTTCCAAGTACGGGATGTGAGCACATTTCAATATCAGTCTCTTTACCATTACAGCGAACGTCATCAAGCCAGATCTTGCCTTTCCCTCTTCCATAGTGAGCGGATGAATATGCAATGGCTCCTTCTCTTTAAGAAAAAAATACTGTTTGGTGATCGTTTAGTATCATGTATAATTAAGTTATTGTTTCTTATTGCAATTTTGAAAAGTTTTCAAATTACCTAAATTCAGAGTATCTTTTTAAAGATTTATTGCATATTAAATTATCAGAAACTACAGAAAGCTCATTTTATTGAGATTTCTAATTCGATTTTCGAGATTCAATCTTTCATTAGAGGGCGGGCTCCGCTTACACCTCTGTTCTCGTCTAAAAAGTAGTTCGGATTGTCAAATAATTAAATGTCAATAAACATTGTATAAACATTGATTGTTTTGTATGTTTTGCCAATGATGTCATGTCTTCTAAGCTCTCTGATAGAAAATGTTTTCTAACTTTGTCTCCTTAGTTTCAAAATGAAAATGTGTGTAAAAATCCAAAACCAAATAGATAAAGGATACTCAATGTTTTGTAGTTGAATATGGAATTTATTTCAGGAGTGGGACAGGATTTTTTGATATTTTCACGAGTGCGAAGCACGAGTGAAAATAAAAACAAAAATCCTGTCTCACGAGTGAAATAAATTCCATATTCAACAACAAAACATTGAATTTTCTGTTTATTACATTTTTAAAAAGTTTCTTCGATTTTTCCCTTGCCCCTGTCTTTTTGTAATGCAGTTATAAGCTACATGACGTCATAGTTGAGCGGATGAGACGTCATAGCTAACTGAGGTAAAAAAAAAAAAAAACATTGTAAACATGCATTTATCAACATATTTTGGGTAATTTTTACAGTGTTATTCTCTGCCAGAATGATTTATTAATTTACTTCTCTTTTATATCAGGTCAAGGAAGATTTCTTTTTACAACACTCTCCGTTATGGGAACAAAAATCGAGAGTTTTACCGCACTTTTGATATTTGTAACACCGTGACAGGATATCATTTTGATATCCTTTCACACTGTGACAGGATATCATTTTTATTCCATGAATAAATTACAGTATTTCACTGGTAAAAATGTAATAATGCCGTATATAATGAAGCTATTTAAATATATATTCAAAAAGTAGTTGCTCCATATTGATATTTCTAAACTCATTTTTAAAAATAACCAAGTTGGTGGGAATCTATAATTTATTTTCGTTTTACAAGATTCTTGTAATTTAGACGATGACAGAAGTGTTGGTGCGGAGCGTAAAAACGCCCCTGGTGAGAGAATGAGATTCAATATCTAAATTAACCACTCAGTCATTCAAAGTTAATGCTACAATTATTTATATGACTTAAAGTCAGAAGGTCACAACATAAACTAGAGGTACTGTGATCAATGAGCTCACTAAATGATATCCCCGCCTCCCATATGAATATAATGACAGTGTCCATTTTGACTATGGGAAACCCAAAATATGTGTCGGATCAAAAAGTAAAATAGGAGGTGCACAATGGCAATATGTAATAAAGATTCTGTAAAAAATTTATTAAATTTCATCTCATCTTTGAAGATGGGTTTGAAAATCATTATATAAATTCATTACTGTTTGCACCCTGGCATAAGTAGTTGAACTTATGTTCTGATTTTTAGTATTTTAATGCATAGGCCCTCTACATGTAAGTCTGTAGATGGCAAACGATAGTCTAAATATGTATCCCTCTATACTATAAAATCAACAAGGCCTGCAATTACATGAACCCGCCATATGGGCTTTCGCCTGGGATCTATTACCGACTTTCTTTAACGTTTTCATTTTGATCATCTCTGGGTACTGTGATTTATTGAAATAAATTAATTGCAAGTGACAACCCAGCAGCAGTCCGCCTTGTTATATCGTTTATTGACTTTGTAGTTTAGGGTGATAGACCTAAGTGGACTATCATTTCGTCATTTACAAACTTAAATGGGCAGTTTACAAGACATAAAGCAAAAACTCTATATACGCAAACCGCTTAAAAAACTAATGGTCTGAATTTCTAGTATTCAAATGCATAGGCCTTTGGGAAGACTTATGTGGACTTTGATTTCATCATCAACAAACTTACATGGGGTGCGCCTATGTTTCACATTCATTATTATACGAGTAACAGTTGGTGGAGGGAAAATCTAGTTTTGTGTTTATATTTTTTCAAAACATATTAATAATATACTGTAGAAGTACATTTTTCCGCGTGGTATTAATTTATGCTTTGTACGCGGCAACATATTTTCCGCGGAAATTTTTCCAAGCGTACTTAATGTAAATGTAAGGCATATAGTGACAATCTAAGAAATCCGCGTAATTTTCTACCCTCGGATTAAAAAAAATTAAGATTCCGCGGAATTATGAACCCGTGGAAAAAAGTATGTCTGCAGTAATCAATTTTATCAGATTGAAGGCGTTGACATAAAAGGTAAAAATGTTTCATTTTCAATTTTCATCTTTCTTAGTTGCATTGCTTAAATGCTGTCCGCTTGGCGCAGTAATAGTGGGTTTGTTCTAGAGTCGCGGAGTAAGGAGTTAGACTAAATGTCTTAGGTCGAATCCGACAGTGAGACACGAAAACCGGTCTTTCGGATGAGACCGTTCTTAATACAGATTCACAATATAACCATTCCAATAGGCCACTTTGCTCCTCTGAGCACTTTGGTAGTGAAAAGGAGAAATCAGATCAGAATTGAAAGTTTAAATACCCATACAAATGAACCCCTTGGCCCTTCATAGGCAGGAAATGGGGGATTTATGATTCAAACAACCTGAATATGTATTACATGAGAATTTATCTATATTCAATATGACTTATCAGGATTTGCTGTTATTCAGTAGAAGATTTTAAAAGATGTTTATATGTGTTTCTATACAAAACTTAAAAGTCCTACCCTACCACCGGGGTCAGGATTTAAACAAAACAACTAAATCGATACTACCTTTCATATTTAAAAATGTAACTTATCATGGCTTTTCCATAATTGAGAAAATCATTTATAAAAGATTCCATTAAATTTTCATTAATTTTGATTTATATCCCATTAAAGACATGGTTCTTCGTTTGAAAAAAAAACCTATTTCTCTTCACTCAAGGATGCTTTGTAGCAAATTTGGTTTGTCCTACTGGTTCTTTAGAAGAATTTGAAAAGTTTACATTCTTTTTATAAATTACCAATTTTAACTACGATCTGATAATGAACCTACGAACCTGTTTTCCAGTTGTGAAGGAACAGCGCACTACACCGCTGATCACAATTATAGTTTTAATTGACTGTAACTTAAAATTGAGCGAAGCTCTAAGAAAAAGCAGAGAAACTGGATGCACAGGCTTATCTTTATGGTTTCATTACTAGTCCTACATGTAATACACTTTATATTTCTTTCAACAGTCTTTACGTGATCGGGAGGTCGTGAGTTCGTATCTCGGCCGCGACTGACCCAGTCGATAAAATGGGTAGCAACTGTTCCTTCGCCATGCCCTCGGCACTTTGAAGTGAAAGTTGTGGGTCCTTCGGATGAGACCATAAAAACCGAGGCCCCGTGACAGCGGCAGGCGTTGGCACGATAAAGATCCCTCACTGCTCAATGGCCCTGAGTGCCGGGTAAAGGTCAAAATTTGAAGCCCTTCACCGGCATACGGTGACGTCTCCATATGAGTGAAAAATTCTCGAGAGGGACGTTAAACAATGTACAATCAATCAATCAATCAACAGTCTTTAAATACGGAATTGCTCGAAGTCTGAAAAAATACGTTATTATAGAAGACATAAGTACAAAACGCACTTCCAGTTTCATATCCTTTGAAATATAAACTAAAATGAAAAATTGGCTTTTGTTAAAAATAAAGGTCTTGTTTTAAATCTGCAAGAATATTTAAGTACGTAACTCATGACATACATATTTACATTTCCTCAGTACATGTATTAAGTCCTAAATGTCGAGAAGATTTTACACCTTGTATATCCGAGCATCGCACAGATAACAGCAGCGTCTCTGTCATCCCAGTCATCGTCACATATCGTACCCCACACACCACGATAGTACACCTCAACGCGTCCATTGTAAGGCGAGTTTCCATTCACTAGTCTGACAGTGTTGTTATAACAAGTGCCTAAAAAGGATGAAAAATATGCCATTTAATTATTGTTTTTTTTTCCCTTTTATTGTGGATTAATCTCTCACAAGATTATTTAAGCAACAATACAGGTACCATAATATAAATCCTCAGAGATTTTCAGAGGTCGTACGTTTTTATGTGAATGTACATTATTTGAATTGTTTTTTTTCTAGTTGCTCATATGTGTGATACAATGTTTTAAAAATAAATATGACATTCCATTCTGTCATTATTTATTAAAAGAAGAAGATTCATGAAGATCACAAACACCAAACAGCATTGTTAAGGCTACAAATTTATACAGGAAATGTTCATTGTGACATCATACAAAAAGTTATTCCTCATAATACAAGAAAATCAATCAATTTGCAACTTAAAACTGTATTAGCATTCTTACAAGCACCATTAAAACTTATCAATGCATTAACAAAAGTTGCTTATTAAATCAAACATAACAAGGTTATAAAGAAATCACTACTCTCAATGAACCTGTCGCCATGTTGTCATTTTGATTTTTAAAAAAAGACCTATTTCATGTGCTGTAAGAGACAGATAAAGTATTTTTTGCATTAAAAATGCATTTTATTTTTAAAGAATATTATGTACAGATCTTATATGGGATATGTATACCGATGTAAGACCTTTGTTTAGTGCGATTACTCATTAATTATCGAAAGAATGTATTTAATTAATTTTACCGTGTTTGGAGTACAGATTTGACATGTCTAATTAAATCCCTTTTCGCAAGGGCACACACTTTATAGATCTTTTTTTGAATATAATTAAATAAAGGATATTTTCTTTAACTTGAAAAGTGCTGCTGCTTTCTTAAATCTGGAGGGTTACTTAATGAGGACATATTTTACTTGTATCAAGCAGATTTTGATACTATCCCAATAACAAGATATTATAACTAATAAAATGTGAATTCTATTGAAAGCTTTAGCACTTTCCAGAAAGAACAAAGAATGCAAAAAAACGATTTATAATTTAGATTCTTATTTTAAGTAGAGTATGCCCTTGTGGTATTGTAATTTGTTCATGGTGTCCATTTATAACGAATACGAATTTATAACGTGTGGTCCATTGATGGGACCAAAATTAAATTCAGAAAAACATGGATTGAACTATGTCATTTCAATAAGTATAAGCTATGTGATAATAGAACAGCTATATAAAAATAAATTCAGTTCCGTTTTTTTTTTTTTTGCGAGTCTATTCCGTTGATTTTACATAATAAGACTGCGCAGTTTTTTAATCACTAAAATGCGTATCATTTTGTATCTAAAAGGAAGTCACTGAAAATGAAAAATCTTCATTTGCTATGCACAATATCATAAATATTTAGGTTATTATTTACACAAAGAGAAGGGTATGGTTTTAGCTTTATTTTGCCCTAAAATGTTACGTCATCAAAACGTTTTGAAACTGGCTTAAATATTAGTCAAGTATAACTGTGATAAATCAGAAAAAGAATACGGCACAGAGGATTACCATTCTGCAAATATGACGTCATTAATGTGATGAATTTCTGTATTTCTGACAGATAAAGCCTCAAGTTAGCCAATTTCAAGGATAATTTTCCTTTAGAAAATAGCGTCCACAGCCGTCGCCCAATTTCATTTTTGATATATTGTCCAAAAAAACCCACAAAAAATCATATATCTCAAAATTTTTGTGGGCGATGCCTGTGGATGATTTTTTTCTGAAAGAAAATTCCACTCAAAATTGGTGTCTTCTGCAACTTTTGAAGAAACTACGGGAAAATGCACATGTTTATGACTTCACAATTAATATTAGCATTTAATGATTTTTATGATATTTCTGCATGGGATTTCAATAATTAAGAAATTAACAGTTTTCGTGTTTTACACTAGTTTCATTTTTTAGAAAATCATAGTGCAAGATTTGTATAAAAACCATACGTACTTCTTTGTCTACGGATGTTTCCGATCACCCACTCATGAGGAAAGAAGATACACGTGCATGTAATTGATCGACAGGTGATGCTTACCCTATGATACCTGATCACACCTCTGTTTTCATGAAGGATATGGAGATAACGAACAGTATTCAATATCAAAGTCCATGAAAAATTACAAAACAGGAGCAGAGCATCAGAGGCGGAATCAGGTGCCATGGAGGAGTGAGCATCCCCTGCTAACCGGTCACACCCGCCAAGAGCTCCTTGTCGTGATCGGGAAATAACGGGAAAATCCGTTGTTAATTCAGTGTATAAATAATGGACTTACAATTAGTATGAAAAACGTCAGTCAGCATTTAACTCAATGATAAATTGTATTTGCTGACAAGGTCATTGTATCGACCATAAAACTTATGAAATGATGACTTTAAACGAGAGTGCTGATATTATAGTTTGCAGTTTTACGTTACGTCACGATTTTTTTCGTCAGATGCATCCAGCGTAGAGAATTCACGTGATTGGTCAACTCAAATTATCAACATTGACACGGAAATAGTCTGATGCACGAGCAACCAATCAGGGATAAGAAGAAAGTTCCAGTCTTAAAGCTTGCGTTTAGGAGGCGTGAACAATTTACCTTGAGCGCAGCTATCAACTAGATCGTGACGTAACGTTAAACATTACACTTAGCTGCAAACTACAATATTTTTGTTTCATTGACTTGCTTATCATGAATTAATCTCGTTGTAGAAATTGTTCATACGTAGACCATGCTCTTGCGTATCAAATCAACTTGGATATTTATTCCGTATGCAAGCGATGATCTTATAATTTTTGCTGTTTTTTATTATTTTTATAGAATGTGTGATTTACAGGTATGGGGTGATTGTAATCGAGTAATCGAAATCGATTGTAATGATTACTTTTTTCAAGTAATTGAGAGTAATCTGTAATCGGAAATTAATTGATTACAGCTAAAATTTTCAATGTAATTATAATTACTTTTTCATTCACTTTCAATTACTTTATTCATGTATATGACACGTTCAATTAATTTATCTTGACCTTTTAAAATGTTAAGAATATTTGAATTGATTACAAATTGAGTATTTTGTAAATTTCTGTTTTTTAGAATTTAGATCTAAGGACAGATCACTCTAACTGTAGAAAAATACCTTAGAATCAGACCTCTTAAGTGTGCAGTGTAGAGAGGGTTCTTAATTGAATAATCTGAAGGGGGATGTTTTAAAAATTATGTATTACTTTCTAAGGTCTAAAGATAACATTAAACGTTTAAACGAGGTATCATTGTTTTGTAAATTTACTTTTTACCTTAATATATTCACTCTTAATCTTATCTTTAATGTACGAATTCATTCAAACTACAGAGGATATTATCAACATTACTATACCGGGGTATAATATTTACATATTTTTTTTCGGGTTTGATATTTGAGGATGGATGAAAATTGAAAGTAATTATTTAATAATCGATTAAATTTTCTAAAGTAATCGATTACAGGACAAAGCTGACTGTTATCGATTATTAATCGATTCCACTAAATTCCCCGAAGTAATCGATTGCTAATCTATTACATTTTTCAGAAATCGTGCCCATTCTGGTGATTTACACACAAATATATTTAAACAAATTTAAATATATACATGTGTGGTATCTCTCCATTATATAAACATACAGAGAACAAATATCTTCAATTCTGCATGAAGTTTGTCAGGGGTCAATACGTGACCTTATCACATGGCACAATAATATTTACCGGTATGATATGAAAATACTTGCTCCACATGTTAAAATGAACACAATAATCAAGTAAAGTAATATTTTTTTTATTTACAATGTAAACAAGTATTTCATACAGTTTTTTGGTTATCGATTTAACCTTTGTACATAGAAACTAGATCTAGCCTTTGTAAGTTTGTTCACAACTTTGATGTCACTTTTGTCAGCTGCACAGTCTCTATAACGTTTATCTTTTTTTGGAGGGGGGAAGACCTTAAATTACATCTTCATGATAAACTATTATTTTTAACGTTACATTCTACTAACGATAAATGTGTAAATCTGTTGGAAAATATCAAAGCATCACAAATTCGCTGACAAACACCTCGGCCTTGTCGTAGTTCATTGTAAGCTGTCGCCAGTGTCTCCGTGTTTATATCATATTCTACCACGATGATTGAAAAATTGAAAGAAGACATCCGGTTGACGAATGGCAGGGTGAGTGGTGTTTTTGGAGCTCCTGGGATATTTCTATTGTAAATAACTTTTCACACGTCTGTCAGGCCAAAATGTGTAGTATTTGATTAACAATTGTATTTTATGAGAGAATTTTAAGGAAGCAAGTCCAAATCCAAAACTATTGTTCCTATAATTTAGCTTCACTACTACCCGTCACGCACGATTTTGTTCTTGTAATGGCCGACAAGGAGTTCACCTTTAGTACCCCTGAAATGGAAGTAGACAATAGTCCATCCGAAAATTATAATATCACTTTGGGTGAATTAAAAAAACAATTTGAGGGAAAAGATCTTGCAAAATGCTTTGCTATTATGCCCATGGACATTAAGGGTGTTCGAGGAGAAATCCAGGACATAAAGCAACGTGTCGGTGACCTGGAAACGGTATGTGAAAATCTTAATCAGGACATTTCAGACATTCATCAAACGCCTTTTCCTGAGATAAAAGAGGCGCTAAAGGGTGAACGAATCGAACGACTCAAGCTGGAAATATGGGGCAGAAAATGGAATTTGGTTGTCCGGGGGATCGAAGGGTCAAATGATGAACGACCAAGAGAAACAGAAAAGAAGGTGAGACAATTCTTGAATAATGTCCTTAAAGCTGAGGAGTCATTTGCCAACGGGGTGATTTTACAAGCTGAACATCGCCTACCAGGTGGACCAGAAGGGAAAAGAAACATTATCGTTCGATTTAACAGCCCTATTGACAGAGATGAGGTTCTTCAGGGGGCGAGAAAGCTAAAGAGTGGTTCAGGATATGGGATATCGCCTGATCTCCCTAGGGAAATAAGCGACCTGAGTGCCAAACTCC